TTCCTTCCTTCCTTCCTTCCTTTCTCTCTTTGTCTCTCTCTCTCTTTTTCTTTCTTGAGACAGTGTTTCACACAGTTGCCTGGGCTGTTTCAGCCTCTCACTGCAGAGATTACAGGTGTGTATCACCTTGCCCTGCTAGCTCAGAATTTCTTAAAGCGTGCTTATTACAAATAAAGGTTCCTGAGCCCCACTGCTGGCCTGTGAATCTGAAGGAGAGGAAGCAGGATAAATAAGCACTCCGGGGGATTTCTATGTACAAGACTCTTGCCAGCTGTGGGTCTAAGTAGAGACGTCTTAGCCAGTGTCCGCAGAGATTTGTGGCATCTCCGCGGCAGCTGCCGGAAGGTGGGCGTGCGGGTCAGGCGGGGAGCTGGAGTCCATCTCTGTCTCTCCCAGTCCTGGCTTTCTCCAGGGTGGCAGTGAAGCCAGTTGGTGGAGACGCTGCTGGGCTCTGTCCTCTTGCAGCTGGTCTTTCCCATTGAGAGGGCTGGAGATGGATGAGGTCTTTGCCTGAGGACCAGCCTGGGATCCCGATGGTCACCCAGACCCAGGCCTTTTTACTAAGTGAGCTCTACCTATTTAGACTCCTTGAGATATCAGTTTGGGGAATTGGTAAATCACTGTAGGTAAGTTTTACACATGAGTTATTCTTCAACTGGGAACCTTTCGCTTTACCTTTCCCTGGGTGTGAGCCAAAGCGTATACCACAGTCTCTCAACTCCCAAGCAGTGAAATCTTCAAATAAAAGGATCTCCAGGCAGAATACTGCCACGGCACGACATGTCACATGACTAGCTTTGGTCGTGGACAATGGCTATGGGCCTTTTCTTTTTTGAACCATAAATGGAGGATGACGTCTGCACAAGTTTGCCAGAAAGCGATTGAACCCCTGCTCCAGCCACTGGCCCGAGACCCCGCGGCTGGTCTGCCCCCGCCATTGCCGGCCCCAGAAGCCCCGCCCTGTCATCTGCCATGTTTGGCGGCTTGTGCTGCTCTTGCTGATTCTGTGACCCCTGTGTCGCTCGTCGCTGTCCACTCTCTCCTGTCTCGCTTCTCTTTGAACTGTGGTGCCCCTCTCCGTTCTTCCCGGTCTCATCAGGAGGTCCTGGGTCTCCTGCAGTACAGTGCTGACAGTCCTCAGCTCTGGAGCAGCCAGATGTTGGGGGTCAGAAGCCCAGCTCTGCCACGTATGGACCAGTTTTGTGCTCCAGGGTAGCTGCGTTTTCTCTGTGCTGGTTTCCTCGGCTGGGAAAGGGGATGATAGCACCTAATCACAGGGCTGTTGGGAGAGGTAGAGAAAGATCTGAACATCTATCATCTCTCCAGTTGTGCCTCGGAATAACTACACAGCGGCGAGAGCTGGCCACTCCCTAAAGGCCCCAGCTGTCTTTACAACAGTAGCTCCAGGAACACTGTCCCCAGCCCGGCAGCAGCCCTTGGGGAAGGTGGAGGGGGCGGGGAGAGCACCCCTCCAGGAATATTTAGCCAGGCATCAAACGACTGCAGCCACGTGGCTTATTCTGAGATTACCAAAGTCTGGACTGGAGAATCATACTTTCTTTTAATCTTCGGTGCTCCCTTTTCAGACCAAAGGCCTCTTTGAAAGCTCTTGTACCTCCGCGCCTTCCAGAATTTTCCTTATCATGCCATCCTTAGGTTCCTCAGGTTTTTCCAGCTTATTACCCATACATCACCCTTCCCAAGTTATCTGTGTTTATATATCCTGCATAAGAAGTCAGACAAAATAGCCCTGATAATCATAACCATCCACAACTTTTATTAAAACTTCATTGAGGGGGCTGGGGATTTAGCTCAGCGGCAAAAGCGCCTGCCTGGCATGCGCAAGGCCGTGAGTTCGGTTCCCGGTACAGGAGAAAAACCAAAAAAAAAAAAAAAACTTCATTGAGCCAGGCATAGTGGTGTAGCCTATAATCCCAGCACTTGGGAAGGCTGAGGCAGGAGGATCACAAGTTTGAGCCCAGCCTGGGCAACTTATTGGCTTAGCAAGACCCTGTCTCAAAATAAAAAATAAAAAGAACCAAAGCTGAGGATGTGGCTCAATATGAGGGCACTGACTTCAATCCCCAGTACTGAGAACAAAAATTTTTGATGTTACATCACTAGACCTTCCACATAACGAAGTAGCTATTTATTGCCTCAATCTCTGATTATTCTAAGTGAAGAACTTGCAACCCATAGTCAGCCTTCTGCAGCAGACTATGAGTTAATATTGTGAACACAGAGAAGTCCTAACGTCACCAGAAATCTTGTCCAATGCCAGTGTCAGACAGGTTATTAACTGGACCTCACTGCAAATTTTGAGATGCAAATCATTTATTTATTCTCCTCTCTACTTTTAACTAATTGCTGGGGAGATAATGAGAAACCTGATGTAGATATTGTGCTTTATTCCTTGGTGGAAATTTCCAACTAACCTAAGATGCAGGCTTCTGAATTTTTTTTTTTTTTTTTTTTGCGGTACCAGGGATCGAACTCATGACCTCACACTTGCCAGGCAGGCGCTTATGCCACTGAGCTTCATCCCCAGCCCTTTAGGCTTCTGAAATATGCTGAAGGATATAATACAGCTTTGTCCTCAGCCCAAAGAGATACTTGTATTTTCCTCTGAATTTTCACCTTGAGAGCTACCTGTGGAAAAAGACAGGGCTGTAGCTTATTCACTCCTTCAACAAATATTTGTGGAGTGCCTACTTTGTGCCATGCAGTAGTCTAGATGCCACAGATATGGGTGTGAACAAAACAGGCAAAGATTCCTTGCCCTTATGGTGCAAAGTAAAGAGTGTGGTTTGCTAGAAGGTAATACGAGCAATGGAGAAAAATTAAGTAAGGTAAGAGTGGCGGGTAACCAGGGTAGAGCTCAGGGAAGGCCTCGTCAGGAATGTGAGTTTGAAAAAGACATGCAGGAAGCAAGGGTGTGAATGATGCAGAGGCCTGAAAGAAAAGTTCTGCTGGTCTGCAGAGAACAGCAAGTGCAAGGTCCTGAGGTGAGAAGGTGCCTGGGTGTCCGTGGGACCGCAACAGGCCGGTGGGACTGCCACGAAATGAGTATACAGGTGTACCAAAGGCAGGGAGAGAGCACTGGGCAAGGAGACTAGCAGCGGGAGAGGCCACTTGACCCGGGATGCCGGCCTTGCCAGGAGCTGGGCTTTCTGTATGAGTGAAATGCAGAGCCACTGGCGAGTTTGAGCGGAGCTGACCTGGCTTCACTCTTGCATGAATGGACAACTCGGACGCCGCGTTGAGAACTGACTCTTGAGAGTGAGGCTGGAGCAGACAGCAGAGAGAGGCTGCTAGAGGAACCCAGGAGACAGATGACTGTGGTCAGGCTCAGGGGAGCAGCCCGGGGTGGGAGCACACGTGGTAACGTCCTAGGGATAGAAATCTGAGAATTCCGATACGCACTGGAGAAACTAGGAAGTGAGAGAGTGAAAATGACCCAAGACTGTGGACTCTGGCTTCTGTGGAGATGGGCCGGAACTCTTCTGAGGTGGAGAGCAGCCTTAGCAGGAGAGTGCTGGGGAAGAAAAGCTCAGCATGTCCACGGGGCATCCATGTGGAGAAGTCAAGGAAGCCACTGCCTGATCAGAGCTGGAGTTCAACAGAGAGGTCCAAGGGCAAGGAGAACCGTGAGGACCTTCAGTGTGTTCGTGCCGGTGAAAGTTCAGTGACATCATGGACGGATGGGGAATAGCAGAGCGAGGTGCAAGGACAGGACACCAGAGCACCCTCACATGTAAAGGTCAGGAGGAGGAGGAAGAGCAGCCAGCAAACAAGACAGAAGCAGCAGCCAGGGAGGAAAGGAGCGTTCAATTTCCTGGACGCCAAGGGGAGAAAGTGTCTCAGAGAGACAGGAGCGTGTGTCCAGTGCTGCTGATCATGATGGAGTGGACGAAACTGAGCTGTCAGACGCGGCAATGGGGAAGTCTTCACAAGAAAGTTTCAGTCAAGCAGCAACTGGAATGGAGGGGCAAGCTTAGGAGGAAAGGGACTGCTGCTACTTGAGTGTGGGTCTCAGAGCTCGTTAGAAATGCAGGCTCTCAGGCTCCATCCCAGACCATAAATCAGAAGCTGCAGTAATCAAGATGCACAGGGGATTCATATGTGAAATTCGAAGAGTTTCAGATGCCTTGGTAGAGATAATCCTCTCCTTGTAAAGAGAAGAACAACCGGGCAAGTGCTGACAGGGGAGCAAGGATCCGGAGGTTTTGCTGAAATTGTTCATTTGTTTCTAAATGCAAAGGGGAAAGAAGTGTGTTACAGGCAGGGGTGCAGCCACCTGCAGCCAGCCTGCCTGACAGTTCCATCGGGCCAGGCTCAAAATGTCCTTCAGTGCCATGGTCCCACCGTGGCCAACTGGTTCTCAGAATCTCCATCCTAGAGTCAGGTAAATGACTCCTTCCCTTCTCTGGCTCAAGGAGAAGGTGCTGAAACTGCTGAGCCTTGCTTCGAACTTGTCCCTTCCTTGCCTTGCAGGTCTGGAAGGGGGGCGAGCCTTCTTCAATGCAGTCAAAGAAGGAGACACGGTGATATTCGCCAGTGACGACGAGCAGGACCGCATCCTGTGGGTGCAAGCCATGTACCGGGCAACCGGGCAGTCACACAAGCCCGTGCCCCCAACCCAAGTGCAGAAGCTCAATGCCAAGGGAGGGAACGTGCCGCAGCTGGATGCCCCCATCTCACAATTCTGTAAGTAAATACGACATTTCTTAAAAATGTAGCTCCACAGAGTAAAGCAGATCTGCCAAAGTCGAATGAGAAAAAGTAGTTGCTCTTATATTTAGGATTCACAAAACTGTGTTTGCTGGAAACATGCAGGGGACTCGGGGTGCAAGTTGGGGCACAACGGTAGATGAAAGTTATTTTAAAGTGCAATACTTGACATTCCCCACCAAGGACTACACGAAGGAAAGTGTATTCTATGTGTATTTCTCCTTGTTTTGGTGAAACTTTGGAATTCACAGCCAAATATGTATTTGTTTGAGTCCTTCAAATATAGTAGATTATGTATGTCATTGCTTCATTTCCTCCTATTAAATGTAACTTTAAAATAGTGTTGATTTGAAATAAACTCAAATCTGCAATTTAGAACCATTTAAAAATAAATGATGACATTATCACATGCAGTAGAAAAAGTACCTAAAATCCCATTCCTAGCTAAAATATCAGACGCCCAGAAATGAAGCTGTCTCCTTAAGCAGCCACTATGAATATCAGAGTTTCTTCTCCTCTCACCTCCACCTTGTTCACTTTTTCGTCCCCTTGGCCCGTCTTCTTGCTACCTTGGAGCCACCACTCTCTCCCTGCACTTCTGATACACATGGTAAGGTGAAGGCCAGTCCATGCTTGGAGACAATTTACTAAAACAAATTAAAATGCAGACATAAAGCATGAAATCAAGCAAACATTCACCCTAAATAGAGGCAGTTTTATTTCCCTGAATATCGAGTCAACCAGGGTTAACTGAGGTAGGAGCCATTTTAGCGGTAGTCATGGTGATCACGTACTTTAGTTTGGAACCCACTGACTCAGCCTGCGCCACTGAGCACCTGTCTAGAAGTGAGACGTGCTGAGGATGAAGAGCATGAGGACCCTACTCTCTGAGCATTTCCACTGGGAGAGCCTAGACAGCAAACAGGGCAACCCGGAGCCCACATGGCTTCAGACGCTGATAAATACCATGGAGAACGTACTAGAGTGGTGACTGCATGGAGAAACAGAACATTAGACAAACAGATGACCAAGAAAGGCTTCCCTGGGCTCATGCACAAATACAGGGATCTGTCTGCCAGATATCTGAGGAGGGAGAATTGCAGAGAAAGGACAGCAAATGAAAGCCCCAAGGCGGAAACTCAGTGTCCCGCGGAGCACTCTCGATCTCCCCTCTGCAGATCGCAGGCAAAGCACAGATAGAGACAGAGTCATTTTGCAGCTCTAACAACTAACTACAGGTCAGTTCTCTTTTAAATGAGCTCAGCAGCTGCTGTGCCCATGCCTGTTCCAGACTACGCTCTTCCACCTTGAAGCACCCATTCCAGTTGAGAAATGCAACTCTCCCTTCATGACAAACTCCATTGGGTGCTACCAGGAGCTGATATTTTCTTAAAGGAGAATGCATTCTTTGGTGGAAACTTGTAAACAACCACATAATCACGGTGGCTTTCTACTCAGAACATTAGGAAATACTAAGGCAGTCCATGAGGTGGGAATTGGGGGAAAAAGTTAGCCCTTCTTTGTGGCCATCATTGAGGCCCCCCCTTTCCTTTTCTCTCGGACTACCTTCTGGCATCTAGATTTATCTGAGACCAATAAAGATAGCAGCAGTCATTCACTAAGATAAAACCTACCCGATATTTATTTTCTCAGAATAACAACACCTGCATGAAGGACTCCTCCCCTCACCCTGCCTGATGGCTTTCTTGTAATACATTTGGAAACCACACGTCATATCCACCTGAAATGCAACCATTCTTGCATGAGAAAAATGTTAATTATAATCACCATTCAATCAACCTCATAAAACATGTATGTCAGGTGATATTTGGAAAACACTGGCTTTGTTTCCAAATAATCTCCAATTCTTCTGAGGCCATTTCACCTTGCATTCAGTGTCTGTTGGACCATCTGCCCAGATTAAGAAGATCAACATGGCTTGTGATTGGCACAATTTTTGCTCACTAGTTAGAGAAGAAAGATGGGGTAAAATTCAAAGGAGACAGGCCAGGGTGTGTAGTCCAGGGATACAGTTTGTGCTTAGTGTGAGTGAGGCCCTAGTTCAAACCCTAGTGTAAAAAAAAAATAACAAAAAGAAGATCAGTGGAGGAAGCTGCTGAAGAAGAGGGGTGATTCTTCATGAAAATACACAGGGGCTCTTGGTGGAGATTTCCTCTGTGGGTAGGATTTATATAGTTATGAAATGTAAATGCTAGCTATTAGGTATCAGCAAAAAGACTCAAGTGAATATACACAGCTTGATTGGGAACTTTTATGAAATGGGGCAGCCAGCAAAATCCTAAAGGTTAGAACTTGAGGGATAAACAATATCATCCCTAGAGTGAATATGAGGTGGTCTGTGAGATAAGAGATAATCCATGCCTCTGGGGTTTAGCAGGATTTATCTATCTGGCAGTAGAGCCACCTTTTCTTCTGGTGATTCTTTGAAGTGTGCCCAAATTTGGGCTTTCTCTGAAGAATAAGAGGCCTTACCACATCAGCCCAGTTCTAGAAGAAAAAGGCCAAAACGTTCAGCCTGTAGGTTGTAGGTTACAGGAGGCCCCTTTCTCAGAAGGGGAGCACACCACTGAGTCATCTGTTGTCCAGTCTGCCCAATGTGCAGGTGGCCCTGTAATAAATGGCAGTCCTGCTCCTGAGCTTCAGTCCGGTAACGCTGACCTCACTAGTGCAGGTATTTCATTGACCCCGAGACAGAACCTCAGTACTGCCTCAAATTCCATCTCTTGCTAGTTTTGGCACTTGGTAAAAACTGCAGCCAAGCTACCAGCTTCTATTCCCGTAATTTAGAAACCTTCAAAGGAAACCAGTCAGGATTAAAGCAGTCCAACCTTCCACTGAGCATTTGAATTTGGGGGTAGACCAAATCCAGGAGAAAGAATAAGGGAGGAACCAGGGATGAATTACACATTCCATTCCATGGTGCCTCGGGGTATGCTGAACAAGCACACATGCATGCGCCTGCGCGCAGGGTGGCGCGGGTGAGGGATGTATCACAATTTTTAGGGGCACCTGCCATAGGTAGTAGCTAGTTCACAAATGCTTTTCCCTAAGTTCAACCCTCACTATTAAACAGATCAAACTCTTCATGGGTAATTCAGTGAAACCCAGTGTCAATTCCTAGGTAAGATGAATAACCCATCCCTGACTGCTTGGGACTTCCCTACTTTGAGCACAGAACATCCTGTGTCCCAGGAAACCTTCAGTCCCTGGGAAAACCAGGTTGCATTGGTGAGGCACTTCTACAAAGCAATAAAAATGAGCAGTAATCACAACACACTACTAAACAGCAAGTTTGGTCCTTCACTTACAATTGGTTCATTTGTTTAAGGTACAGCACAAAAATGAATCACAAACTCTCTAGCTAGCAAAAAGGATTTTTAAAAATCAAGTATTGCATTTTAAAAAGGTTTCTTTGGCTTCCAAAAGGTAAGGGTTATTTTAAAATACTTTACTCTGCATACATCTCATTAAATCCTGGTTTTGAATATTTTGACAACAGCTTTTCAATGACAAGTTGGTCACCGCTTTATTAGTGTTTACACAGCCAAGGGAAGCTAAAGAGAAGTAAGCAGCAACATATAAATTTGGGGGCATAGAGAAAAACAAACACTCCAGTCTCGTCACGTTGCTATCTGTTCCAGGGAAACTTGAGAATGGGATGTTTTATAGTTTGGGGAACTTGGGAATAATTGTGAGTTGATTTAGGTCTCTAAATTCAGTTTAACAGACTTCTTGATGCAATTTGCATTTTTTTACAATTTCAAAATGAAAAGACACATCTAAGAAAGCATGGAGTGGAGTATTTATATGGAATTGTAAAAATGGAAAAAAATAGATCCTGCTATTCATTAGTTTGTGTGTGACTCTACAAAGATTTTGGGAGGGTTCCATCAACCTTTAAAACTATTTTTGTTCTTTTGTGATTTTTTTTCTGTGTGTTGTTGATTTAATTTTTTTTTCCTTTTCAGTTAAAATTTTAAAGATTAAGTTGGTACCTAGTTACTCAACTTTTTCAAATAAATACTTGCAGTTCTCCAATCTTTAAGGCCACTGTTGCCCATATTAGAAACATCCAAATTTATAGTTGAGTTTATACCTAGTTTTATATTGCCTTAATTTATTTTGTCAGGTGGCCTCTCACTGGGGCACCTTATCTCTGTCTATTCTGCATTAGTGGAATGTAAAAACCCATACCTTAATTCTCATTTGGAATGCGGTGGGGACAAAGCGGGTATTTTAAGCTTTGACATTTGGTCAATGTTTATTTAACATACTATTTATTTACAGTTAGTCATTTTAAGCCTATTTCTCAGCTAATAATATCATGGATCCCCAAAGTTGGATGTTTCTGAAAACTGTTCTATTTTTGCCAATATTGAATAGTCTTCAATAACCAGGGGCATTATGGTTACTACTGGTTTGGGGGGTTGTTTTGTTTTTCTTTTGTTTTGTTTGAAGTTTTCTTGTTCAATCTTTGCTCAAACCCAAGAACTTTAGCTGCTAGGTTAGAGCTCCTGTCTGCTTTCCTGAGCCTTGTTGCTAGTCTTTATGTTATTCTGGTTTGTTCCTTCTTACCCTGCTAACTTCTAGCTGGACTGAAGGGTAAGTGCTCCCCCATAGCTAGCACAGCTCAGATAATCAGACCAGATTATCTGACACCTGCAATGTGCTTCCCCCCCCCCTTAAATCTCTCTCATGTCTAGACTTTGTAGTAAAACTTTTCATGTTATTTTCCTGACCTTAGGTTTGAACTGTAAGCTTCCATACTGAAACTAGGATGCATGCGACGTGTGCATAATTGCCTCCTCTCCTTGGCTTTCATATTGGCATCAAATGATCCTCTGAGTAAAGCCGACCATGAGCATCTTCTAATTTTTTTCATTCCAAGAATATTAATTAACATCACAATGAAATGGCAGTTAAGGCCTTTGTTTCACGGAATTCACAGCCACCTGACTGCTTAATGCCTGAAAACAGATCATTCTGAACTCTGATAATGTGCTATTGTTATTGTTGTTGTTGTGTCCTTTCCCATTTCAAAGATGAGAACGGTCAGTTCACGGTGTGTGGTAACTACGGTACCTCAACAAATAGAAAGGTAGGGTAGGAAACCCAAAGAGTTTAACTGAGCAAGACTAAAAGAAATTGTGAAATGCCATTAATAATGTAAGTGCTTTATTTGAACACTGAAGAATTCATTGGACCAGCCTTGAGAGTCTGCTCTCAGATAGTGTCCAATAGAAGACTGGTTTTGAAAAGGGCAGCTCTAGCACATGGGACTACCAGACACAAAAGCATCAAATTAAGGAGGTGAGTGAATCCATGTGCCTCATTCACAAATATTTTGGATTCACAATCTCACAGTGGGACGGAGGGTTTGACCTCTGATCTTAAATATTCTGCTACTCCCTCAAGAACAATGACAACAATAACTTTTTCAACATCATTTGGACTCTTATTAATTTTTCTAAACATTAAGTCTGTAAGAGAAAAAAAGAGGCTTTAAAACTTCAGAAAAATCTTTCTCATTACTATTTGTTAATAAAAGCAAGTGTACAATTCCTTTATTAACCTAGGAAAAAGCTACCCACCAAAAATGTGTAGCGGGCAGCACGGACATTAGTGGGAGTGAGAGAAAAGTGGTCAAGAGAGCAGGCAACTATGTATTGAGTATTCTGAATGCAGCTTTAGAGGAAGTAGGTCATGTCATCTCTCCTGACCATTTAACAACGGCCTTTCTCCTAATTTGTTTTCGTCCTTTAATTTGCTTTTTCCTCCCTTTTTTTCTTTTTCCTTTTATTTTGCTTACGTGTACTCCTGGCTAGCAGACAGACCTTTTTCACCTCTCAAAGCAAATACTTAATTTAACTTTATTTTCATTTGAATGTCGGATGAGGCATTTTTAAAAGCTTACCATAGAATGTGAACTTAGTGGGAATTTAGGAATTTGCTATACTCTCTTTTTTCAAGAATGAGAGGATGGATGAATAAATGACTGAATGAGTTCTGTTCTGAGTGCATTTACATGTATTTGCACAATGCATTGCTATCCTAGTAGATTTTTAAATAGTTGTTTGCCTTAATTCCTTTCTATAGTTTTATCTGATGAGATTTTTGCTCTATCTTCTTGTATTGTCAACTTGCAGTTGCTACGTTGCAAGAATGGAATATCAAAGAATTAATTCAATATCAACTTAATTTGCATGACCCAAAACCAGACTGTAAATCACATTTTTCCCATCATCAAAGTAAATGCCTCTTTAAAAGGATAGACTCCTATAATCAAGTCCAAATTTTTCCAAACACCATGATACGGCCTAAATAAACACATTAAATGAAGATTCATTTCTTAATTAAGTACTTCAGACACATTTAACATATCATTCACTTATCAGTTGAGTATTTTCAAGTCCTATAGTGATTTACAGTGAGATACATCTTTAATTAGTGAAATGTAGAACATACATTTTTTTCATGTAGGGAACAGAAAATTATGTGTAATACAGCAGAGAAACTTATAAATCACTTCCTTGAGATCACTGACAAAATCTCAGTTATGATTTTTATTCAGAGCTACTGTCTTGCAAAGAATTATAAAAGTTAACATTGAAATAAACATCCCATATTTATCCCCTTGGGTGTACTGCCGCAGTAGTTTTTGACTCGAGATTTCTGCAGAGTGCAGCATGGCCCCTGAGAACTTCCAAAGAAGCCGTCCTCTCCCGGCCATTCAGATAAGCTTGGCTGGGTTGGAGGGACGTGAAGGAAGCAGCCGCTTCTCAGTTAAGTGGTCCACTGTGTGCCGCGGGCAGCAGGCACGGGAGGGCCAGTCTTCTGTTTGCTGGGCACAGTGCAGGCAAGGTACAGCATCCCCTGATGACTTGACTATGCCAAGAAAAGCTCTTCTAGAAAAATCTGTGAACAGCCAGCTGCCATCAATCATTGTCATTCCTTTATTTCGTGTCTTCTGATGAGGCTGACTACTGTCATTGTGCGTTACTGTCCAAACCATGCATTCACTCTTACTGTCAAGCAGATATGACAAGCACACATTCTCCATATAAGAAAGATACAAAGTCACCTTTTCATTTGCAGTTTGGGTTCACAGATGACTTTGGAGTTACATTAGCTATTCTCCTGCCTCTAGCACCCTTCAGGACTAGCAACGACCCTCACTGTGCTTTAAATTTCAGTGGTAAAACAGCTGCATCTAGCTTATTATAGAAGGAATTCATGAGAGCAAAGAACCCCTTCCAGGCAGTTTGTTAACAGTACAGTCATGATCATTTCCACCCGCAGAGTTCCTCCTTCTTTACACCAGAAAAATTTCCAAAATGTGGTGCTGCAAAATAAACAGGGAGAGCCCCCTTTTGTTTTCAATCCCAGAGCTATGGGAATGATAAGAAAATCTCAATAAAATAAAAATTTGAAAGCTGTATTATTCCTCCAAGAAAAGGACATTTATCTGGTAGATATTAGTGCAAAACCATCTAAAAATGCATATGTTTGAAACAAGATCACAGAAGAATACTTGCTACTAGGAGATGATGAATAATATATATTTTTCCAGTTGTGAGCAAAGGAAAAAAGAAAAGAATATCAAATGTGAAGTGAACTCAAATATAATCAATTAAAGAACAAAATAAATTGCAGGGGAGCCTGCTAGGGACCAGCCTGTTAAACTTTAATGAACAGATTAGATGAGAGTATAAAATCCACATAATGGTATCACTGTAGGAACCATAATTTTCCCAATATTCCTCAAATGTCACAATGAAATTGTTTCCAGGGAAACTCGGGGTAAGGGGCTTTGTGAGTTTCTACCTGAAAGGACACCTTCCCTCCATCAGTGTTCCAGACCATCAGCCCGCTTCTGTGTTGTGGATACCATTGTTAGTGTTCAAGGCTCTGAACGTAGTTGAGGTATCAGTAATAGCTTTGTCTATCTAAGTGTGACTGGAAGTCAGTCTCCTCCTCCACACCAAAAAGACTCTAAAAACCTTATGCTATTAAACCCCAGAAGTGGAACAGGTGGCACTGTTTAGAAGATGTGTTGAATTATGCCCTAGCAACAGAGCCTGTGAAATCACATCACCCTCTTTCAGTACACGTGGATGCCTTTGAAGACCAACCAGAGCTTGGGTAGAACTTCCTAAAGCCAGGTCTGGAAAAGGTCAGAGTTGAAGTTGATTCTCAAACTGTAGTGAATCCTTGATTTCTGTGGAAGGAAGGAAGGAAGGAAGGAAGGAAGGAAGGAAGGAAGG